TGCAACATGCGGGGGTCCATCGTTGAGGAGAATTATAGGGAACTATTCTCCCCCAGCCATCTGTGTGTTGCCTTTTGGCACCATGAAAGCCACCCATCCAGTGCAGGGAGTTTCCAGATTAGTCCAAGCTTGCTTTCTCCCTCTCCCTCACTCACATCATGCAGTGTCTTCAGCAATGGGATTTTTCTGTCCACTTCTAGTGTACAACCAACATTATTGACAATGGCCTTTATTGTTTGGGGGACCTCTAGTGTCCCTCAGGTCAATAGCTCATAGGGGTCAACCCATACATCTCAAACAATCTTAATCATCTTTATATCCTTGACCCCACCAGCACCCTCCCATAGCGCCCCCCCCACTAGAGCCCATATACTCTGTTATTCCTGTTAAGGTCCACTATGTCAACTCAATGTCCCTAGATGTTCCCCAGTGTGAGTCAGTCCACTGAGGTGTAGTCAACCTATTTAGAGTCCCTTGATTTAGGAAGATCAGCTCTTCCTCACCTAGCAGTAATCAGTTGCCAATATTTCTTCAGATAAGATTGGGGTCTGCTGTTCATTTCCCCATTTCTATCCTGGGTTTTTGTCTGTCGGAGTTTTCATGGGACTTGTGTATGCTGACACCATTGTCATAGAATCATAAGTAGGTTCCCAGGAGCTTGTAAGGACTCTGTTTCCATATGGTCATATACCATCTCCCTGGCTCTTAGGATCTTTCCACCCCCCTTTCTGAGATGGTATCTGTGCCTTGGGTGGGTGAAGTTTAATAATGGACTCCTGTCCAAGGGCCAGCATTCAGGGGACTCTGAGTGCTGAAACTAAAGGCATGCACTACCTTGCCTGGCATACACCACACACACACACACACACACACACACACACACACACACACACACACATTTATCCAGATTCTTCTAATTTTTCTATTATTTTTCTTATTAATTTGTACTTTTTTTTTTGTCTTTTTGAGACAGGGTCTCCCTGTAGTCCCAGCTGGCCTGGAACTCACTATGTAGACCAGGCTGGCCTTGAGCTCACAAAGATTCTCCTGCCTCTGTCTCCCAAGTGCTGGGGTTAAAGGCATGTGCCACCATGCCCAGCTTAATTTGTACTTCTGTATTATTTTGAGTGTAAGTTTTCTGTTAGGTATGTTCCAGTTAGTTTTCTTCCACTCTGAGACTTGCTTCCCACAGTTGTGTGTATGTGTGCATGCTCTGGGGATTGAACCCTTGGTCTTCCACATGCTAAGCATGTGCTGGCTCCATTGAGCAACACCTCTAATCTCCTTCAGCACACTAGGCAAGTGCTGTTCCCAACCTTTCTTCATGCTTTTCTGTGTGCCTGTGTATATGTGGGCATGTGGAGGCCCGAGGACAACCGTAGGTGTCATTCTTCAGGATCTAACATTTTTTGAGACAGGGTCTTTCAGTGGCTGAAACTCACTAAGTAGGGCTAAGCGGACTGGCTAGCAAGTGCCAGTGATCCACAAGTCTCTGCCTTTCTAGTGCTGGGATTGTAAGCATTCACCACTGGGACAGGCTTTTTCACATGGGTTCTGGGGAATCCAACTCAGATCTTTGCATGGCAAGCACTTTACTGACTGAACAATCTCCTCATTTCCCCAGATTTCCTCTTCACACCACACTTTCTTTTTTGAGTCAAGTTCTCACTATGTAGCCCTGGCTGGCTTGGAACTTGCTATGTAGAAAGGCTGACCCTGATCTCACAGAGATCTCCCTGCTTCTGCCTCCAGAGTGCTGAGATTAAAGGCACATACCATCATGTCTGGCTTATTTTTTTTTAATGATGCATGCATGTAAGTGTATGGGTATATGCACAAAAGTGCAGGTGTGCAAGGAAGCCAGAGGCATTGGATCCCCCAGGAGCTGGAGTGAGCCACCTGACTTGGTTGCTGGGAACTAAACACAGGTCCTCTGGAAGAGCAGTACATGCTCTTAACCACTGAGCCATCTCTATTGCCCTTTTTTGTTTTTGTTTTTGTTTTTGTTTTTTGAGACAGGGTATGTCTGGACTATGTAAACCAGGTTGGTCGTGAACTCAAAGAGATCTTCCTACCTCTGCCTGCTGAGTGCTAGGATTAAAGGCATATGTTGCACTAAATTGCCTTCCTTTTTTCCCTTCTTGGGAGGCTTACACGCACCCTCCAAGGCCCCAGGGCTCATAGACTAAAATAAGACATTTTAGTTTGGGTTTTGTACTGTTTTATGACATTTAGGGGTGGGGTGACTTACACGAAACAGCTTCCTATAATCCATGTGCCATTCAAGCCCACCAGTAGTCTCCATCAGCTTTTGCACTGTCTCACCCGATGGTCTGCCTCCTCTCACCCTGAGGAGGCTGCAAGATGGGCCAGATGCCCTGCCCGTTCTTACCCCATCATTTGGCCGCACCGTCTCACTCCCCAAGTTCCCAAAATGGCCAGCTAACTCTCTGTATAGCAGTGGGCTCTGCCCCTCTTCCCAGGGTGCTCCTCATCTTGCCCCTGACTGGCTTACACTTTTAGGAGGAATGAGTAATTTACGGGCTACAGTATGTGGCCCATGTTCAGACCTCTTCATACTTTTTTATTTAATTTTTTAAAGACGGTCTCTGGTACTCCCTGCTGGCCTAGAACTCACTATGTAGACCAGACTGATCTTGAACTCACAGAGGTCCACCTGCCTCTGCCTCCCCAGTGCTGGGACTTACCTGGCTCCTTTAAAAAAAAAAATGCTACTTTGAAACAAAATATTGCTATGTAGTCCATACTGGTTTTGAACTTGCAATCTTCTTGCTTCAGCCTCCCAAATTCTGGAGGATTACAGGCATGCACCACCACACTCAGCTAGCATTAAAATGTTTTTTAGTTTATTTTTATTTTTATTTATGTTCATGAGTGTTCTGCCTGAACATATCTATGTGTACCACTTGCTCGCAGTGCCCACAGAGGCCAGAAGTGGGCATTGGATACTCTGGAACTGGGGTTTCAGATAGCTGTGAGCCACTGTGTGGATACTGGGACTGAATCTGGGTCCTCTGCAAGAACAGCAAGTGTTCTTATCACTGAGTCATTTTTCTGCTCCCCAGCTGGAATTAAAAAAAAAATCAAATGGTAATTTAGGTTTTGTGGGTCATAGTCTGTTTTATAATCATACTATTCTTCTTCTTGTGTGAAAATACCTATAAACTACATGCAAATGAATGTGCCTGTGTTCTAATAAAACTTTATTGATAGTGACAGGTTATTAGCCTGCAGGTGCTAATTTTTCGAATCCTGTGCTGTAGAGAAGGAGCATGTCCTTCCCTCTATTTCATCTCTTCCCATTAGCTTGTGCTATAGTTTGAATATTTTTATCTCCTCAAAAAATTTATGTTGAAACTTAGTCCTTTAGGGAAGAGCTTTGGGAAGTATCACTTTGGGAGATGATTGGGTATGAGTTCATCCTCAAGAGTGAGATTATAAAGATGCCCTTATAAAAGCCCTCCTACAGTGAGTCCATTTCCTGCCTTTCAGCCATGTGAGGACATGGCCACACTTCCCTAGAGGATGCAATATCAAGGTACCTACCATCTTGGTAGTAGACAACAGCCCTTCCTAGACAGCTGGCCCTACCAGCGATTTTACCTTGGACTCCTAGAACTGTGAGAAATGTCTGTTTATAAATTACTGTATTACAGCAGAACAAAGCCAGGTGGAATAATGAAAGCCATTGTTTTGGGGGTTTTGTAATAACAGTTTATATATTACCATGCCTAGCTTGAGTGAATTTCTGTCACTTGCCACCAAAGGAGCTTTGAGTAGTATAGAGCAGAATAGGAATTTGGGATAGGAAGGACTGAATATTCTGTTATGGGTGATTGGCAGGCTTAGTGTTTGCTTCCTGTGATATCTGGTGTTTTACTCTTCACTGGTATGCAGTCATGGTTGTCACACTTACTTGCCTCTGTGGAAACACTTCCTAGCCTTTTTCTCTTTTTTTGGTCTTTTTTGAGAGACAGGGTCTTCCTGTAACCCCAGCTGGCCTAGAACTCACAGAGATCCCCTTGCCTCTCCCTCGCAAGTCGACTTCAACCCCTTTTTATTGAAGCCCTGTGACATCCCAGGCACTCTGGAGGTCACCAGGGAAAAAGAAGGAATAAATCCGTGGTGTCCTTCTTTTCCATAAAGAGCATATACCCTGACAATGGGAGGACACAGAGCTGATGGTTTAGTACTTGAGAAGTCAGTCATTTTGTAGAATGCCTTCTGATCTTGGTTTGCCTGATGTTTATCACTACACTGACCCGCATTTCTGGCAATTCTTTGGCAAGACTGCAGAGATGTGCGCATCTCTTAAGTTCTTGACGTCAAAAATCTTGTACCTGGTGATATCAATCTTGATCATTTTTCGTTAAAGCAGTGTCTGCCATGACTCACACTGAAAATTTACGAAAATATTTTAGATGAGAAACTTCAGTCTCTGGAAATTTCTCATTCCTGCTTAAACTTTTGCCCTTGATCTTAGTATCCATCAGGAGGATGTAGAGAAGGCAAACTTTTACTTCCTTGGACTAAGCTAACGTTTACTGTTTTGGGGTTTTTTTTTTTTTTTTTTTTTTTTTTTTTTTTAAAAAAAAAAAAAAAAAAAAAAGAAGGAACTCGCTATGTAGCCCAGGCTGGCCTTGAACTCACAGAGATCCGCCTGCCTCTGCCTCCCGAGTGCTGGGATTAAAGGCGTGCGCCACCACGCACGGTACGTTTACTGTTTTTTAACAGAACGCTCAGCGTTTCTGCAGGAGAAAAACGTAGGAGACAATGGGACGAAAAGGAAGGACCATTCCTGCACCAATTAGGGGATGAGCGCTGGGAATAAGCACTCCAAAGACACCAACAGAAAGGTCAACACCTTTGGGTTTTCAATCAGGCGCGTCACGGCCGCCCGGTTGTCCTGGAGTCGGGGTCCTTTTGGGCCAGGCCGCCATCTTGTGGCTCCGCCAGCCAATCAGCGGTTGCGCCGTGGCGGGGGGCGGGGCGCGAGTCGCCCGCGCTCTGCTCTGGGTCATGGAGGCACCGATCGGCTTGCTGCTGCTGCTGTGGCTCGGGGCCTGGGCCCCGGCTCCCGGCAGCGCCTCATTGGAGGCTCTGCCGCTGGTCAACGAGGACGTGAAGCGCACGGTGGACCTGAGCAGCCACTTGGCCAAGGTGACGACCGAGGTGGTCCTGGCATACCCCGGCGGCGGCTCCACGTCGCGAGCCACCTCGTTCCTCCTGGCGCTGGAGCCGGAACTCGAGGCGCGGTTGGCGCACCTCGGTGTGCAGGTGAGCGTGTGGAGCGCGCGTGGGGGCCGGTATGCGTGAAGCCGGGGTCCAGGACGACGCCCGGGAACCCTGAGGGGTCCAACGGGGAGCCTGAGGTCTGAGAGAGGCCTGTGTGGAGGAGACCGGGAGGTTAGGGTCTGCTTGGGCTGCCCGCGCGCAACCGCGGACACGTCAGCGGAGGGCTCCGGGCTTTCTGCCCCGCCCACGCAGCATCCTGTGTTCCCGTGGCGACCCCTCAGCATCCCTGGCGACCTCCCTTGGCGCTCACGGCCCTGGGGACCGCAGGACGGTGGCTGCCACGGCCAGCTGCCTAGTGCAGGCACCTCTCTTCCTCTCTGTCCACTGGACGGATGAATGAATGAAGTCGAATTGAATTCCTGAATGCTCTTGTCTGTCCGATGCAGGCTCTTCTCTGCACGCCAGCAGCGTTTAGAAACTTAACAGGTTTCCAGGATTCAAGTCTGTCGTTACTTACACCCCGTGTATATAATGCACCTCTAAAAGCTGCTAATGAATGCTTGTTTAATGTTCAGACTTCTTGAACTTAGTTTAAAAACTCTACAAGTAATATCAGCCCTTTATGCAGTACAGATGGTGAAATCCAAGTCTTCTCCCCATCTACCTCTCATTCGAACGCTTCAACTTTATCTTTCCAGGCCTTTCAGTGAACACACTTTTGTGGCTCTGAAGGAAAGAAAAATTATCCACTTACAGAGGTTTGCTTCTTATTACTATTTTCATTAAGCCATATTCATTAAGTGATTACCTAATTAATTGTGGAGAGATTAGTCATTACAATATCACATTTCTAAGCACATCACATTCTCTTAACTGTGCTGCTATAAAGCTGGGTTTATGGATTGCCACCCAAATGACCCTTATCCCCTTCCATGGCTTGTCCATGCTGAACTTAAATGTTTCTGGAAATACTTCAAAACTTCATTCAACTTGCAATGCCTCCTGTGAATATGTTGAATGTTAAGTCCTATTCTTTTGTGGAAGCCAGTAACAACTTAATGAAGCCACAATATAACCAGATCACAGCAGAAGCTAGCCACCCCTCACTATCCTGGTGGAGAATGCACGTAAGTTGGGTTGCTGAACTTCTTTTTTTAAAATTTTATTCCCTCCAACTTTATTGAGGTATAAATGGCACATAAAAATCTGCAGGTAGTTAATGTTTACAGTTTGGAGAATTTGGACAAATTGTTATGATTACCACAGTCTAGGTAATAAACATACCCATGATCTTGACTTTTTTTTTTGTCTTTTTGAGACAGGGTCTCCCTGTAGCCCCAGCTGTCCTGGAACTCATTATGTAGACCAGGCTGGCCTTGAACTCACAGAGATCCTCTTGCCTCTGTCTCCTGAGTGCTGGGATTAAAAGTGTCTGCCACCACACCTGGCAATTGACTTTTGTTTTGTCCTTTAAATTTTGTTGTTTTTTGTGATAATGTATTTACAGGGAATTTACTTTGTGTCAAGATTGTGGCAGGTATTTTAAATACATTCCCTACCCTTATAGCAGCAGCCTTTTAGGGTGAAGGTATTCTTATGTGGAGGTGGAAGGGTCTGGCTTTGGAACTTAGGCCTGCAGGTGAGGCTCTAGTTTGTCCATCCTCAGTGCATATGTTCCTACATTTTTGCCACCTTACTTTCTGGCCTTGATATGAGAACAAGTCTTAATCTCTAGCACTGTAGTCAACATATTCACAATCATGTTATTTCTGTAGTTGTAGGTAGAGAGAGCCCAGTTAAATGGATATATGTACTGCCTGTGTACCCCTTACCCTGATGGGAAAGAGCTGGATGATAAGTTTAGCAAAGACAGTGTGTTGCCTTGGAAACTTGGATGAGGTTGAATGGATTATGGAATTCTTTTAGGAGCTGGTGGAAGGACTATAGTGATTATTGGGTAGGATCCATCAGTTTTCCTTAATGCATTTTTAATTTTATTTTATATTTTATGTGTGTGAGCGTATTGCCTGCATGTGTGTAAGTGCACCCCTGTCGTGCAATGTTCTCAGGGGTCAGACGAAGATGTTGGATCCTCTGGAACTGGAGTTTGGGGCCGTTGTTAGCTGTCGTGTGGGGTGCTAGGAACTGAGCCTGGGTTCTCTGCAAGAGTAGCCAGTGCTCTTAACCGCTGAGCCATCTCTGCAGCCCCTTAATGCATTTTTTTAAACATGGCCTCCTTATATAGCCCCTAGATTGTCTTCGGAATTTGGAAATCTGCCTCAGCCTCTTGAACTGCCAATTCTCTTGCCTGCACCTCCTGGGTGCTAGGATTATAGGTGTGCATCACCATGCATGGCCCTCTCTTAATTTTTTACTCAGTATGAATATTTTTCATGAAGATAACTCCTAATAAGCAGGAATGTACTAGAATGTTAACCATTGTGGTAAGATTGTAATAAAAGTAATGAAACTTGTTTTTTTTTTTTAACTTATAATATTATTGAGGATGATTTTTTTTTTTTTTTGGTCTTTTTTGAGACAGAGTCTTCCTGTAGCCCCAGCTGTCCTAGAACTTGCTTTGTAGACCAGGCTGGCCTTGAACTCACAGAGATCCACCTGCTGCTGCCTCCAAAGTGCTGGAATTAAAGATGTCTGCCACCATATACCTGGTGGTTATATAGTCTTTTATACTTTATGAAATATTAAGAATAATGTTTTTAAAATGTACTCTTGGCTTTTAGAGCATGGTAGGGAAGGGCTATAATCCCAGCAATTGAGAGGCAGAGGCAGGAGGATTAGGAGTTCAGGCTTATCCTAAAGTGAGTTTGGTGTAGTGGTGAAACATGCTTAGCTGCACCAGGCCGTCAGCACAACACAAAAAATTCTTTGTTAGAGTTCTGTGTTCTCTACTAGGAGCCCCTGCTTTGGTCCTATGCAGTAGCCTTAGTTTTTAGGGGGAGGTGGTAAGGTTAGGCTGGCCAAGGATTAGTGGGGTGTACATGTTTCCCACATAGTCTGTCCATAGTTTGTGACTCCAGATGACTCCTCAGGAAGCCTCTGTAGTGTACTGGAATTAACCTGGTCACACATCCTGTGACAGTAAAGGATTGCCACTGGCTTCTTCTGAAAGCTTTGCCAATGCTGCCTTTTTTTTTTTTTTTTTTTTCAAATTGTGTGTGTGTGTGTGTGAGACGCAGAACATCCCAAACCATCTTATTCAACTATACACCCACTTCCCAGATGGCACCCTCCCATAGCCTACCTCCCCCCACTACAGCCCTTATACCCTTATACTCTGATATCCCTGCCACTGTCTGCTGTGTTGTCAGCACCCCCAGCCATTCCCCACTACTTGTCCAACTGGTGAATCTAGTCAGCCTATCTAGAGGTCTTTGTTTTAGGACATTCAGCTCTTCCTCATCTAGCAGCAATCAGTTGTCAGTATTCCTTTAGATAAGATTGGGGTCTGCTGTTCATTTTCCCAGTTCCATGCTGGGTTATTATCTGGGAGTCCCTTGAGCCACGCAGGCCAAAAACTCAAAAGAAGGTATCTCCTTTCTGGCATTGTTGCTTGTTACATAGCCTTTAGCTATGCATATGGACTCTTAAAATTCTATTGACCCCTTTAATCTTTTGTTATACTTTCCTTTTAGGTGTTTAAGGCCATACAGTTGGTCCACATAAAACCGATTAAGTTTTACTCTTAAGGTTATTTGAAGATCTGTTCCCCAGGGGTCACATGGGCTTGGGAGGAGCCCCTGGCTCCTTTCTTTTACCAGTTCCACCTGTGTGACGATAAGTCAAA